AACTCTGTTGCAGGCAGCGTTCCAATTTGGGACAGTTCGACTCCTTACCAGCTCGAACTTGTAACAGTTCGATTCTGTCCGCGTTCTGTTCTGGTACGTGTGCGAAAAAAGGACTGTTCTGAATTGAATCTGTTCGATTTTAGGTCTGTTCGATTTTGAAAACGTTCGAATTCGTCGTACCCCCAATTTGAAAGATGTAAATTAGTCCAGAAAATCAAAAAAACTTTAATTTTGCTTCGCTTTTTTTGAGGGCGGAGCCTCGTAAATCGACACAAGCACTGCGCGCAATATTTTCAGGTGCCAGTTGTTCCTAATTCGACGGCTGAACACTAGATATTTTTAGGCAATTACTCTTTAACTACACCACTCTTTGACTACACCTACTCCACATTCTCTTTGACTACAAAATCTCTTTGACTACACTTGTCTCTTTGACTACAAAGTCTCTTTGACTACACTTTTTTGTTTTATAGTACTTTTTTAATGAATTTATTGGAGTTTCCGATTTTTGTCTCAAATTGTAGGCTTAGGCTAAAACGCCAGTTTTCCGGTAACCGTTTCAGCCTAAGCCTTTGATTTGTACAGAAAATAATAAAAATTTGGAAATCTCAGCGAAAAAAAGTGAGAATTTTGCTGATTTTCGCGAATTTCAGTACTTTTTTCACTGTGATGTATTTTTGGAATTGTCAGTTTTTTGTTTAAAATTATAGGCTTAGGCTCAAATTCTTCTTATATTCTGTGAGAACGCCCACAAAAACTGCAGAAAATTTTAAAATTTTAAAAAGTGTAGTCAAAGAGTAATTGCCATATTTTTAGGCGTATGGAAGATCTTTGGCTGTTATCTGCAATTTTAGATGACGATTTAGTGGATAAAATACGAGAACAGCGGGAACTATCCTCCAGACACACTTCTGTAAATTTACCATGTTTGGAATACGAGGTTTCAGAAGCTGTCAATATTTATACCAATGATTTTGTTTACAGTTGCTAAGCGTTTCTTCTGGCTCTCGAGTCTGCGATGATCATCATTTGCCTCTAATTGACGAGCCCAGGTAAGATGCACTTTAGAGCTCAAACATTATTTTAACGTTTTTTTTTATTACAGAGAACAGTTCCAGCTCACAAGAAGACCGGTTCCTAGCTCTGCCGGTCGTCATATTTCTGTTTTCGCGAATCATTTCCAAATCAGTTGCAATGGATCAATCGTCTTCCAATATCACATTTTAATCAATCCGGATGTTCTATCGAGAAATTTGAACAGAATAATTGTGAATACGTTGCTCGAACAAGCTCCAGAACTTCTGGAGTCAAATTTGGTGTACGATGGTTTAAGCACAGTTTACACTACTACTCCCATCGACGTGGAAAGAACTAATCAGATGCTAATCACTGTGAAAGGAATCAAGTTTACAAAGGATTCGCCTAATCAGTTTAGCATCTTCTTCACTTGTGTAGACCGTTTCTCTCTGGACACGAAAATGTGAGAATTGCTACTCCGCAAATGATACATAATTTTAAAATTTCAGCTCATATAACAAGCACGATACATACGAAAAACTACGAATGATTCATGCGATCGACACGATCTTACGACAAACTTCATCCGCCCGCTTCCACACTGTTCTACAATCATTCTTCTCTATTACGCCGCATACGAAAATCGGACCGTCACATGGCCTCGGTTGGGGTACTGTTAATCTAGGACTCGGCCGAGAAGTATGTTACGGTTTCTATCAGAACGTTGTCGAAACATTTGACAAATTGACTATGAACATCGATGTTGCCACAACAACGTTTTACCGTCCAATAGCACTCGCAGAGTTTCTCGCAGAAGTTCTCGAAGTTCCGCTAGCAACAGTCACTGATGGACGATCATTGAGTGAGGTTCAGATAAAGAAGTTCAATCGCGAAATTACTGGTTTGAAAGTCGAAACCAGACACTGTCACACACCGAGAAGATTCCGAATCGCAAGATGTACTTGGAAGCCTATGAAGTCTCTCATGCTCAATATTGACAACGATAAAGAAGCTTCTACGTCGATTTCTATGCTGGATTATTTCAAAACCCGATATAATATTGACTTGAAGTATCCTCACCTTCCATGTGTCGAAGCCGGACGTACTCGCGAGTGCATCCTTCCGTTAGAACTCTGTTACATTGTTAGTGGCCAAAGATGCATCAAGAAGCTCAACGAGCAGCAGATCGCCAACCTCATTCGAGCAACGAGCAGAAATGCTACAGAACGGAAGAATGCCGTTCTCAATCTTCATGAGCGAATCGAAGTAGGGAAAGATCATTATGCATCTGAATTTGGACTTCGAGTGCAAAATCAAATGATGAAGTTAGATGGTCGAATTCTTCCAGCTCCACGTCTGATTTACTGTTATCCAAACTCGAAACGGCAAGATTGTGTGACAACTCCAAATAATGGAACATGGGATATGAGAGGAAAGAATTTTTATTCCGGAGTTGAGATCAAAGTGGGTTCTTACAGACTTGAAATCGTTTTAATGATGTGTTTATAGAATTGGGCCGTGGTCTGTTTTGCTGAGCCAGCGATCGTTCCTTCCAATAATCTACAAATGTTCATAGGCAGTCTAGAAAAGGTAGCCAGAGAAATCGGAATGCCGTTTGTCAACGAATATTGCTTCTTCAGGTTTATTCATTTATGATTATGAAAGAATCACAGTATTTTTTCAGATATGTCCCAGCTGAACAAGCGACCAACTCACTTGAGTTCCTCCAGGAGCAGTTTCCAGATCTTCAACTCGTCATATGCATTGTGTCTGGAAAATCCACAGTCTATGGAGACTTGAAACGAAAAGGAGATCTTCTCGGATTGACAACTCAATGTATTCGTACTAACAATGTAGCACGAGTTTCACCTCACACTCTTTCTAATCTCTGCATGAAAATCAATTCGAAACTCGGAGGAGTCAACGTCGTTTTGTCAGCTCCTCCACCATCAACAGCTACAACACCAACTCTTTTCATTGGATGTCATTTATCTCGGAATTCCGTGGCGTCATCATCAGAATCATCTTCTTCTCTCAATTATTCTGACACTTCTATCGCATGTCTTGTTGGATCAATGGATGGCCACCCAACACGCTTTGCTCCCATTTTCCGTTTACAGCCACGGAACGCGAATACAATCATAGATATGTCTGAAATGATGAAAGAAGCGATTTTGAACTTTCGAAAAACGACTGGATTCAAGCCACACAAAATTGTGATTTATCGGTCTGGCGTTGAAGGAGACTCTATCGACGAGATTCTTCAAGCTGAGCTTCGAGCAATCCGGGATGCGTGCACAATGATTGAATCAGGTTTTCAGCCAGGCATCACATTCATTGCATTGGATGTTGCTCATCATACTAGATTATTTGCGGCCAATGAAAGGGTTAGTAACGTCCTTTTTTCTACTTTGAAAAGTTTTCATTTAGGATCAGATTGGCCACAGCCGTAATGTTCCAGCTGGCACACTAGTCGAAACTGGAATAACTGTCAATAACCACTTTGAGTTCTATCTGGTTTCGCACGCAGGAATCCAAGGAACCTCTCGCCCAACCAAGTATGTCGTTATGTGGGATGACAACAATATTCCGTCCTATGAGATCCATGAAATGACTTATCAGGTAAGACAGTTGAAATGTTGGTTCCAAAAGAACAAGATCGGGGATTTCAGCTCTGCCACACACAATCTCGTTGTACCAGAAGCGTTTCGATTCCATCACCAGTTTACTACGCAAAGCTGGTTGCTCAAAGGGCCAAGATACTTCTCGCTGATAAAAACTTCGATTTGCAGTCGTTCCGGGTATATCTGATTTTTTATAGCTTGTAAAATTATTATAAACTTTTTTAGGACAAATCTTTATCCGAAGGAATGCTATTCACTTAAATCAAAGCCTCGTCATACGTTCATTAGGAACCGAGTCACCATCAACTACCGTATAGAATAACCAAGTTCTCATTATTCACAAATTTCGTGATTTTACTATATACTGATCTCATGATCCTACCTAGTCGAAGTACACTTATAATCAAGCTTTTTCTTTTCGCGTCTGTTGTTTTATGTTATTTTGTTATGTCTTTTTTGTTTTCAATTGTAATACTCGTTTCCATGTTTCTCGTTATATACAAGTTGTTGTTATCCACAAGAATAAATTGTGAGATTTTATTGTGCGTGCGGGTATTCTGAATAATTATGATAAAGATGGAGAAGAAGAAGAACAGAGAAAAGTAATGAAACGGTGTTATGAAATTAAATTATGAAAAAAAGAAAAGAAAATTTCACCATGAAATAAGCTCACAACTAGAGATTTTCGGGGATTTTTGAATTTCGAGAGAGGAGACGGCTTTTCGAGAGAGGGGGGCTGGCGGAAAAGTTTTGGAAAGATTGGGGGAAGGGTTCTATAATTCTGGAAGAGAAGTTTTGGGGAAAGCTCGTTTTGTTTTTTTTGTCATAAAAGCTCGCGAATCGAAGAAACGAAAAAAATCGCGCTCAATTGAAAACTAATTATCGATAGAGCGAAATTGTATTATTAATAAAAAGTGCAAATGATTTAAGACTCGGAGATGGCTTCATCTTGAGCAAATAGTATTCCTTGATAGGTAATTCCATTGATTTCCATCGAAACTGTCATCGAGTTTTTGGAATCATCTGGAAAACAAAATATATATTGGTATAAGTTATTATTCTGATACGAAAAACAATCGGAGGTGTGGAAGATAAACGCCGATGACCGTGGCCAAAGGTCCCACAATAATAACTATCGTAACCTAAAATACTGTAAACACTCAAATAGAACGCCACCCAGACCGTCCACTTTGAGCCTATATATCTCACTTCTTTCAAAGATATCAAAAAGTTCAACTAATAAAATGTTTATCATGATATCAGCAATATTTTATTTGTTAACCACTTTTTGATATCTCTCATAGAAAATGAGATACATGAGCTCAAATTTGACGATTCGGGTGGCGTTCATGTTTACGGTATGTTTATTTTCGGTATTTATTTTCTCTCACTTCGTTTCGTCTAGACGCACGAAAATCGAGAAAATAAAGTCAGAAAATAAAAATTGTTTTAGGTTACGGTAGTTGTGGTGGTGGGACCTTCGATCCCGGCCACCGTCGTTTCTCTTCCACAGCTCTGATTTTCTTACGCCAGCATAATACTCACCTGATGTCTTTGTACTAATCCGTAAACTAGAATTACTATTCGATTTGTGATCGATTTCCAACTTTGCTCGTTTTACTGAAATCAAATTATTTTCCTTGAGAGTCTTAAATCGATTACCTGGAATATCAGAATCATTGCTAGACGTGGATTCTCTTCCAGAATTCGAATGGTTTCCTCCATTTCCATTTGAATTAGCTGTCAATCCTAAACTCTGTCTGGCAGCTTGTTCCACGACTCTTTGTGCTCTTTCCATATTTCTCTGATGAGCCTCGAGCATTGCCATTTGTTCAGCTCCATAGCCGGCTCCGAACAGACCACTGGCTTGAAGGCTCAATGTATTTTCATCATCAAGGAGATCTGAAATATTTTCAAATGAAGGTATTGATTTCCAATCTCCCAAAACCAACCATTTCTCATTCCAAGCCCATTTAACTGCTTATTGAGCATACTGGCAGCCGCATTAGCAGCATGAGGAAGTTGAAATGGTAACGGGAATGAAGGAGCAGTCCGTCTTCCAGGAGCTTCTCGACGATTCCCATCGATTGCTTGTTGTAGATCCGATTGATTTGATAATTTCTCTTTTTCGCATTCATAATCATATAAATATTTCTGATATTGTGTTCGGAGAGTGAATGCAGCAGATGTAATTGATGAGGGTAGATTGAGTCCTTTCGTGATTTCTCTCCATAATTTTTTGTTTATTATTTCAACAAGACCACCGTGTTGAACAACGAGTCGATAGAGTTCATAGAGATCAAGTACTTGTTTTGCCATAATTGGAATTCGGGTCACCGGTTTGCCTGAAACTGATTTTTGAAATCAGAACTCCCTCCAAAATTCGTTTACCTATTCTATGCATAAAATTGAGCCAATCATCCAACCATTCCTTCCTTTTCACATCATCCGACAACTCGTACAACTGCAAGAAATGTCGTATTTTTCATTTTCCAAACTGCGTCCCTCATCAAAAACATGTCCATTTTCTTTTTGAGTAATAAGTGTAATACTTAAATGAGAGAAGGAGTCATTTGTCCTCCCAAAACTTCGGTTTCTTTTCTCATAATTAAATATTCGTTCGACTCGGGAATTGGGAGAAGTATAAGTGAACCACTCAATTAGTTTTCTTAAAAACGAAACAGATAATTGATGGAAAAGATGGAGGAGGAGGCTAAATAAGAAATGATGAATTCGCTTTTGGGTTACTGTAGTTTTCAATGTATATGAAGCTTTCTAAGATATTCAAAAATAGGTATTTGCTAAACGATTTAAAATATTTTCAAATATATCCAAAATAAAATTTTTCAGCGATGACGTCATCAATCCATGACCGTGGCCGAGGTGGGGAGTTTTCTCTTCCATGGGAAAATTTCGAAAAATTCACAGCTTTTCGCAAATCCCATTTTTCTCCGTTTTCCTTCATTTTCCATCGTTTTTGCTCAAATTTTCGTGGTAATTAATCGAAAAAAATTAATTTTATAATTTTATAATTTTTGATTGTTTTATTGCTTGTGCGAACAATTTTCAAAAGAAATTAGCTCATTTTGGGCCAATTTTTGGGATTTTTGAATTTTTGTGTGTAAATCACTAAATTGTGATTGTTTCCTTCATTCAATGATCTATAAAATTATGAAAAAATGAGAAAAAATTCAATTACCACGAAAATTGAGGAAAATTGGGAAAAAAACGAAAAATTGAGAAAAAAGGGAAAATTGGGAAAAACCGAAGGAATATTGAGAAACAGAAGAAAATGAAATAGAATTGAGAAGAAAAGCAATTGAGAAAAATTGGTAGAGGAAAGTATCGACTGAGTTTTAAAACATAAATTAAGCATTAAAGTCCTGAGTTTGTAAAACTTGTCAAGATTGTTTTACAGTTCTCCGTTGTATGCTTTCCTGAAGTTTCGGGACTCAAAAATTCAAAAAAAAACTAATGCCTTTCAGCACAGAACAATTTCCACAATTTTTTTTCGTGATGAGGGAAAAATATGACACAAAATCAAATAGAACAATGTGACAATGAGAAGTGAAAATTTTCTGTCGTAATTTTTAAAAATTCAAAAATATTAAGATTCTGAAGTTCTGCGATTTCGAAGTTCTGAAATTCTAACATTCTGAAATTCTCCGACTCTGAAGTTCCGAAATTCTCAGATTCCGAAATACTGAAATTTCAAAGTTCTGAAATTCTAAAAATTCTGAGATTTTCAAGCTCTGAAATTCAGGAATTCAGAAACTCCCTCAAAAAAAAACTGTACCCCCGAATCACAAGCGTTGTACCCCTGAATGAAATGAGTTGTACCCCGAATTATTGGCAGAAATTCTACCCAGTTGACCCTCCGAAATAACACCTTCGATAGTCTGCAATTGTGTTTGTTTTCCTCAAAAAACTACGAAAAAGATGTAAAAACAAAAATTCATTATGTTCAGAATCATATACTCAAATTGATCTCAATGACCCCTATGAGACTATCAATGACCCCTGGGAGCATTTGGTCCGATGCCCCCTATGAGACATGGTGGGATGCCCCCTAAGAGACAACTTCAGGATGCCCCCTATGAGTGTATGCCCCCTTTGAGCACGATGCCCCCTATTTCGATGCCCCCTGGGAGTATGGGCCGATATATGGCTCTAAGATTACGGTTTAGGTGTCCTTCTATTAGAGTGTTTTCGGTATAGCTGTCGACTCAAAACTTGGTAAATTTGAGAACTACAAAAGAGACCTCTTTCTGTGACACAGAAGTTTATCTTCAATTCAAAAACCACTCGAGAAGCATTCAAACCCATTTTCAAAAATGCATATCTCATAAAAACCAATTCCACTCATAAATCATTGCTAATCCTTCTTTCTCTCTTCCCCGGATGGCAAATAATTCCTCTTCCTGACTCTATTTCCTCCATTATTACATGTTGTAAACTGCTTCTTCTTCTCTCTTCTCCTTCTCCATCTCAGCTCCTATCATTATTTTCTCTTTATTATTATTATTAGTAGCTCTGGTTTTATTTTATTGCCTATATCCACCAGCTCGAAACAGAGAATTTTCAAAAGCTCAGAGGTTGAGTCATCGTGTCTTTCTGTGTGAGATCTTGGTTTTTAGTTCCAAAAAAGTGCATTCAATTATTTAAATGCTCCACACGATGACACAATGCTCTGAAATTTTATCGATGCTTCCAAATCTTTCCCAAAATTCTCCTGTGTTTGATGGAGAAAGTGGTGGGTTCTGTAAGTCAGAAAAAGGCGATATGGGCAGTATGTGAATTTCAGAGAATGAAAAAAAAAATAAATTTTGTTTCGACCAACGGATATACCGTAAACACTCTAATAGAAGGACGCACTAGAGTGTTTACGGTAGCTCATGATACCCTGATTTAGTTTTGATTTGGGTTAGAAGGTGTTGTGAAAACTACGCTTCCACAAGTCGGGTGGAATCCTTCTTGCAAAAGCAGTGTGAAACAGATTGAGTAACACGTCTAAAACGGCAGGAGATAATACATAAACCAGCAGAACTAAGCAGATTCCCTCGCAGAACTGCAGTTTAATTTTCCCAATTTTCCATTATCTTGTTTTATATTTTAATTACAGATTCTCCCATCAGGCTCAACTTCTTCTTTTCTTATTTCCCGCCGACGCGTCGCTTCTCTTCCTGTCTCTTCAGTCACCACGCTCTCTCGTCGGTGTCCAAAGGAGCGCGCTTGCTGGATAATTTTAGGCCTTGCGAGACCCCGCAATTTCCGGGGAAAAAAAATCGGGGAAAAAGTGGGCGGAGTCGGGGGCGGAGCCTACAATGCAACCCTGGCACGGTTTTGCCGCAGGGTTTTTCTGCACATTTGGGCACGGTCATGAGGGGGCGGAGCCTAAATTGCAACCCTGGCACGGTTTTGCCGCACGGTTTTTTTCCGACTCCGCCCACTTTTCTCCGGAGTTTTTTTTTTCCCCCGGAATTTCCGGGGTCTCAGGCCTTGCCAATTGTAATTTAATTTCCCCCGGCAGATTCATAACTTCGCACGTTTTCTATGAATTAATACAAGTTCTGTCTAGAAACAGGCTTGTATTCGCAGTTTTTGTCCTTCCGCAGGTTATTGCAGATTTATTCTTCGCAGATGGAACTGATCGCCTTGGAAAGCTCCACACGAGTCCGTCGTCTACGCAGAGGACTCGCGTATCGCAGAACTGGAATAAAAACCCTATTTTTTTATGTTTTTCATGATGCAGAATTGCCTTTTCTTACTCCCCTTTACGTACAAGGTGTCCCGGTCCCATATAGCAAAATCAGGAGTTTTAACGGGCCGAAACACCCTGTACGCTTTCTCTTATTCAATAAAAATATCATCTAAATCCTTAGTTGTCTTTTCGTTACATTTCAGGTCAACCTCACAAGGCAGTCTGGACTTCCCAGTTCTTCTAGTCCTATGCAGCTTTCAACCCTCTAATCATATTCAGCCTTTCTAGTCGTGAACTGGAAGTTCTCTTCCGACTTCCAGGTCATCACAGAAGGTGGTTTTTAAGACTATTTACAACAATGTGTTTTTTAAATGAATTTCGGCTCTCAACAGGACTAGAGACTTCTCAATTCAGTTTTCAAAATCAAATTTCTAAAAAATTTCATTTGATGGCTCTCCCAAAACCTGTCCCTATCTTTCTATTTTATCTCATGCCCAGCAATCAGCTGATTGTCAAAAAGGAACACAATGAGTTGGACAAAAGGAAGCTTGTTGTATGTTTCTTACATTATTAATCCGACAGATTCGAGCCAATCGGCTGGGTAAACAATTAGCTCGAGTCACTCCTCTCGGAAAGACGAGAGAGAGAGAGAGAGAGAGAGAGAGAGAGAGAGAGAGAGAGAGAGAGAGAGAGAGAGAGAGAGAAATCAATGAATGCCAATAAATAGATGATAAACTATTGATATAAAGAGATGGGCGATGAAAAATGAAGAGGAGTGATTGTTTTATTGGGACAGGGATTACGGTAGATTGAGTATCCAATCTGCAAACTTTAACGAGAAAGTTACAAAATATGGAGAAATCGAAATTTCGAAAGTCTTTTGAATTACAGTTCAAATGAACAGAGCTAAAGCGATGAGTAAAACATATGATAAATGCTCTTTTTTCCAAAGAAATTGATAGTGTGAGGACCCTTCTATTACAGGTTTTACGAACAACTTCTTTGCCCAAAATGTAACTTTCGAAATCTGAAACTTTTTAACAACAAATCTAATAAACAGTCGGTTTCTAATAGATACTTCAAAACCGTATTGCAATAAGATCCCTTTCTTTTACCCTCGTCTTTTGAAACAAGGAAGATTCTGAATAGAAAATGAATTGTGTGAGATGTATATTCAACTCATAATTGATGAGCCAGGTAACCTATTCATTATTCCCGTCTCATCAAAGAATCTCTGAAAGAGTTTGACAAAACGCACAACAAGATGTCCCTTCTCTCTGGAATTAGTGATTCGCAGAGGTGTGAACAATAGATTCGTAAATGTGTGAACACAATGCTTCATCGTAAATTCTTGGGAGTACGGTAGGTCAGAAGATGAAGAAGAAGAGGAGAAGTTGAAGACATAATTAACTAAGTTTTTGGTTTCGCCCGTCTCTATGGTAATTTGAGATGAATACGTGAGATGAGGATATGAGGAGAAAATGAAAAGAAGTCATTTAGAATTCCAAAATTGTGATGCTAAAGGAAATTCAAAGATCCAAAATGAATCACTAACCTGCTTAAACTGTTCTTCATATGACCATGCTGGACCCCCTGAAGCATTGACTCCAGATTCTGATGGCTCATCTGATTTCACTGAATTCTCTTTTCTGAATCCACCTAACGTCAAATCTTCTGGCTCTACTCCATTTGTGTTCTCCTCATCATAATCATCAAGACCAGGGGAGATGGCTGTTAACCCAGAAGCCAACCCGAGTAGTTGTTGCTGAAAATATATGTTGTCTAAAACAAGAAAATTCTTGATACCTGAATATTGAAAGGTCCTTGTAATGCTTGAAATATTGGTGGAAGGTTCAGTGGCGTTCGAAGATTTGATAGATTTAATTGGGAATGTATGAGTCGTTGGACCACTTTTTGACGGGATTCCATGTCGAACATGTTGAGATTTGCTGCTAGATCTGGGGATCCGGGTGGAGTGCTTTTCTGCTGAAAAAAGTGTCATTTCAGATTGGAATTCTGATCGTTTGAAATTTATTTTGCAGCCTTCAAGAACTTCTATGAATTAGCGGCAATATTATTAACGGCTAGAATAAATAGAAAGAAACAGGACATTCCAAAAATTTAGGATTAAGCAGATTCGCTGTTTGAGAATCTAAAGTAACAATGCTGCCTAATACAAGGTCGTGGTTTTTTTTGTTTTGGGATAGGTAGGATTCGGCGGCCTAGCGGTCCACGAATTTTATGGGTAACTGAGCTTATTTCCGAAAAAAAGGACAGTCTGGTCCACTGCAACGTATTTCCGACAGCTTTAATAACCTCACAACTGGGAAATATGGAACAGTAAATCTTGGAATCAAAAAAGTTTTCAAAAAAAGGAAACTCCAGATCCACAGTCCAAACCACTTACCTCATCAATCTGATCATCCGGTCTCTCATCACAATTGCTGCTAGTTTCATCGTGTGCTCCAACATTAACAGTTTCTTGAGTTGGCTCTTTTGACATGCTAACGAACAGTTGCGGTTCGTCGATTCGCACCGACATCTGCCTTTCTTCTGCAAAAGAATTTCGATCATCGACACCCTCATCATCATCATTTATCGTCATCACGGTCATCAAAAAATAGAGGAAGAGATAGAGCAAACAGGAGTTGTTAAGAAAAGGCCACACACACTCTGCTTTGAGAATCTAATGGGTAACACATGTTTTTGTTCGTGTACTGAGAGATGAGGACCCAAATGAACTCTGCTGGTTGTTTCTGTTCCGTTCGAGACGAGAAAAAATGGGCGGCGGCCATTATAGTTTCATATCGCATCAATTAGCGGGGGACTGGTGAGGGAGAAAGGAGAAACTAGGAAAGAATAGAGAGAAAAAGGACAACTGTTTAGAGGTTTTTTAGATGAGAAAAAATAGAAGATGAGGGAAAAAAGAAATCCAAATGATTTACATCGAAAGGATCTATTGAAAAGATCTGTTAAGATGGAATTCTATGGAAAGGAAGGGATATCTCCGGAGGTCGCAAAGAGCCTCAAATAAAATAAGTGCAATTTTATGAGGGGTCTAATCGAGAATGACAATCGAGAATGACAAATTTGTGGAAATGTAAGAATGAGTTTTAGTGGGATAAAATTAAACGATCACCGTAGAACCTGTAATAGAAGGACAACCTAATTGTTAGCTAATTTATCTCGGTTCCTGTAAAGATATTTAAAAGTTGTCAACTGATAATTGTATATCATAATATCAAAAGTCTTTTGTCAGTTAACGCATTTTTGATATTTCGCATTGGAATTGAGATAATTGAGCTCAAACTCGACAGTGTGGGCCCTCATATTAAGGTTTCATGGTGTCTAGATGAAGTTTAGATTGACTGGATTATGTTTTGAGATGCGGTATCTAAACACAGTTTAAATTGAAATGAGAATTTTATCTCAAATATTAACTTTAATATTACCTGCACCAAGAAGAAGGCGACCGTTAACACTGTAATAGAACGCCACCATATGTTTGCACTTTAAGCTCAATTATCTCTATTTCTGTAAGATATATCAAAAATCTGTCTACTATAAAAATGATGTTGATATTAAGGCAAATATTTCATCAGTTGACAAAGTGATATCTTTTATGGAATACTAGATAATTAAGCTCAAAACGGAAGTAGAAGGTAGAGTTCATATAGATTTTAAATTTTATTCTTTCTACAATTTTAAGTTTGAGGCTGCTGACAATCGAAAGATTAGAAAATCTGCTAGATCCTAAAAAACGCAAAGAAGCTGCTCTTTTCAAATGTTTGCTTTTCCTTATTCTAAACTCGAGGAACCTAATTTTATCCCGTATCATCTATCTCAACCTAAACTTGCAAGACAGCATATTCCTTATGGCATATAAAAACCGGGAATCGAGTAAATAAAATGTGATATGAATGGTTTAGGAATCAATCGAAATTTGCATATGATTCAATTGAATAAAAAAAGAAGACTCGTGTTGATTTCGATCAGATCAATTGAATGATTCGAAAGAGAGAGTGAGAACAACCAAACATGAGTTATAACAAGAGGCAAGGAAATGAGCACAAGACCAGATTACATCAATTACCGTAATCCGTTCTGAACTTTGCGCTATATCAATTAGACAAACTCGAAGGACTACATGGTGGAAATAGTGGATGAGATGAAGAGACGCAGACACTTTCCTGGCAGCCGATTTTTGTGTGTTTCAAACAGTGTCTTTTCGTTGTCAATTGAGCGAGAAGAGATGCGCAATTTGAAGCAAACATTTGGAAAGCGCCGAGAAGAACGAGATGATATTTTGCGCCCACTTGGATGCTCTTCTCTCTTGTTAAGCAATACGGTAATCAGTCGTCAATGATTTTGTGTCGTATCTCACTTAGACAAACAATTGATCTCCTATTTTCAATAGTATTTCAATTCACTGATTTCTCTCTCCACTTTAATCGACAAGAAGAAGAACAAGAAGAATAAGAGAAAGAAGAAGAGTTTTACAAGGAAGAAGAAGAGAATATTAACCAAGGATGGGTCAACATATAATAGGTGAATCGAAATGAAGAGTCAAAATAGTTTTGAAATGGAATATGAAGAAGATGAGTCTCTCTGACCAATCAAGCCGCATATTAAGGCTCCTCCTACTTTTTTAAGGAAAGCAGCCTGACTTCTCTTCTGAATATGGAATGAAATACGGAGGGTGCAGAGAAATAAGAGTAAAGAAGAAGACGAAGAAGTAGTGGGGAGGGACAGCATAAAAGACGGACGACGATTACGATAGAAAGTGGGCGGGGCGAAGTGTGGGAGGGAACTGAATTATGATGACGTGGAAAATGGGAATCATGTTTCAGGTGGTTTGGTGCTACATGGATACTAAATACAGGAAATGACCAATCTTAAAATTGATGTAACTTCTAAATCTAGGTTTCATTTTGATCATAAAAAATGTTAATTCGTTATACCGTAAACCTCTAATAGAAGGGCCTTCTAGATTTTAACTTTGAGCCAATTTATCTCGGTTCTTATTGAACATATAAAATAGTTGTCAACTGACAAAATGTTCATCATAACATCAAACTGTTTTACCAGTGGACACACTTTCAATAACTAGCATAGGAATTGAGATAATTGAGCTCAAACTTGATAGTGTGGGGGACCTTCTATTACAGGTTTTATTATTTGTTTGATGCTTATTGGTAGTAATGCTTATAGACTAGCAATCTAATGACCAAAATATTGATAACTTTTCAGGATTGATATATATTTCTCAGACGTCGTCATTTTTAACAGATCCATTTAGTAATTTATCTGAAGTTTTTTTTCTATAATACCGCCAAAAAATGTTATGGCAACAAAGCTTCTTCTGGATTTTGAAAAAAGTTTAATTGATCTGAAACTACCGTAGTCTCACGGATTCAGAAATCGATGGCATCAAAAATGATAAAGACAAAATGTTCAGTGCATTCATTATCTTCATCAGCTTCATCCGACTTCTCGTTTTCCTTTGGTTTTCCCATTCAATCATTGCATTTTTTTCGTTCAGTCGGAGGGCCCTCGAGAAATGAGAAAGATATTCGACCTGACACGAGATATGTCCGAACACTGTCTCGTTCCTCTTCTCTCACTCTCTTTTGCTCTTTTCTCTCCATATCATTTATCACTTATCTTTTTTCAATCCGGTGGAGAGCCCCCGAGAAACGATTTCTTGATGAGTGTAGAGGAAAAACGATGACTCGCTTCGATAAATATATATATATATATAAACTGAAGATTCTGTATAGAGATGGGTAACAAGATTGATTGACATTCATTCGATTTTGTGGATAGCAGAATGAGCCAGAAACCAAACGTCGTTTTTTTATGAATCAAAAGTTTTGGGATTCGATGGCAAAGTGTCAGAAGATGGAGGTCTCGATTTTCTTAAATTCTTTAGAGGCCATCCAAACTTTTCATGGAGATAGCTGGAGCTCAAGGATCTGGTCAATCCCAGAAAAAGTGCAAAAAGAGGTAACACCTTGAGGTGTGGTCGTGACAGGAGCTAAACCGAAAGAAAAATGAGAGAATGACAAAGTGGTGTCAAGGATATAAGAGAAGAGAGGTTGGCAACGGAGAGAGGGTTTGGAAACAAATGTTTTGTGGTGAAAAGAATAAGGAGAAAAAATAACGGAAAACCCATGTTTTTGTTGTTGCTGTTTAATTGAGAGAAGAGGTGGATCGACAGGTGCTGATGGACATAATTGGTCATCCGAAGATGTTAATAGATGGAGAAAGGGAGGTAGAGGGAGAGAGGAGGAATGAGAAGCTGTTACGGTTTACAACTGGTCTTGTAGGATGATTGATAGGGATGTACCGATTGTTTAGAATGAGCTATTCGGAGCTCGTGGTATTGGTAAATATACAGTCTGGGAACAATCATAGAAACGGTATAATCAAAATTTCAGAAATTCTCAAATTCTAAAAGTCTTGAAATTCAAAATTTCGAGTTCAGAAATACGGAAATCCTTAAATCCTACAATTCTAAAATCCGGAAATTTGGAAATACAGGATGTTATAATCTCCAATAATCGGAAAATCGAATTTTTTAATATTTGGAAATCAAACAAATTCAGAAATTCAATTTCTCAGATGTAGAAATCTAAAAACTATCAGTCAAATAGTTTTGGGAATCCAGAAATTCAAAAGTTCAAAAATACATTCGGAAATTTTGAATTTCAGATTTTTTTTTCAGAAAATTGGAGTTTTTAGAATTGACTATGAACGAAATTGATTCACTACAGGAAACGACTAGATTGTGAGGACACGTTCATAGACATACTAAATAATTGACACAATATTTTTGAATTAGGATACTTTCAAATATACGAAAGCCAAAATGCACACTTCTGTTCCCTGATAAAATCTATGTTGTCTAGTCAAACTGATTACTTCTCAGCCGAATTAGATCTGCTCTTTGAAATTTCGGTCAAGACCCATCTATCTCACGTGTTTCTCTGAAATGCCTATTATGACTTCCAATTGTCCTTTCTCAAAAAATCTCGTTAAACATTCCCAAGAACAATTTAAAAGTCATAAGTGCAAGCATCCTCTTCTTCTTTGTCTCAACTTTCCATCATCATCACCATTTTCCACTTCTTCATATTGTGTTTCCCATGATTCTTCAGAATACACTCAATTCATTCTAAACCTACCGTACCCCTCCTCCTCCTACTCAATCGGATTCATTCTAAAGATAATTGAGTGGGTGACTCCGAGCACACACACCCACTTCATAAATTAATCAATAAAACAAAATATTGTTTCTGGGGTTCCGAGAGAGGGGAGAAAATGAATACAATTGAAAACGGAGGACACCACACGGGTAATTAGTATGTTGTTATAGAGCATAAGTCAGCTGCCTCCTCCTGCGTGATGGAGAAAAAGAAGAAGTGTACCACCCCAAACCACGTATTGTTCAATTCAGAAAAAGATGAGCACAAAAAGAGAAACGAGACGACTCCAATTAGGCACCCGCCAATGAGCAAAAGGCAACATTATTGAGAATGA